TTTCCTAACCACCACCCGTTCTATAAATGAGTCCCTAACCTCTAGCGCACAATCAATTCGTACATTCCCCAATTGTGGTTCCTCATGCCTCCTTTCTGGTCGATGGACAGTCAGCACTCCCCCATGAAACCTTCGACTGGAAATCGTAGTGAGGGCATCGCTTCCAATGGAAAACTAAGAGCAATCACTCGGAACTTGCCGGCAAACTCGTTTTCACGCATTGTGTCCAACTCCTGTTTGGTCATCCATGGTATAAAAAGAATTTTCACCGAACCCGTACATGTTGGGATCCTATCTTCTCCTTTCATCACTAACCATTCTGCAATTCTTTCTAACCTCGCAACGTACGATGTTACGTTCGGCCCCTCACCATGTGTCCTCCCTCTCTTTTGGGAAGGGTTGACCGTCGGGTCCAGGTACCACGCATCCTCATATACCCGAATGAGTTGTTCTCTTTGATTTCTACTGAGAGTTGTAGCAGGTTCATCGAAAATTACTATCACCGTTCTAGCCTTCAACCAATTGACTGTGGCCTGGTCAAATTCATCGCTCAACGTTAAGTACCCAACACCACCAATCACCTCTGTTACTCCCACGTTTACATTAGTCTCCGGAAACAATCCGTCGTCAAAGTTTTTATCCAACAAGGTTTTGATCCGGGGTCCATCATCTGCATCTGTGGATGCAGGTTGTGCAACCCTGTTTTCTCCCCTCCCACCCTGTGGCGGGGGKGGGGKGAGGGCTGCCGAACTCATAATTATCTTTAAACAAGAGTTAGATTACGACTTTTTGGGACAACAATTCCTAGTTGGAGATAAGATATTTCAGATGTACCGCTACGCTCACTCCCTTAACCCAAAGTCTAGAAGAGTTTCAATAAACTTGAAATTCTATTATTGATCGGATGGTAGGAATCAATTCGACCCTCACTTCTAAATCCTTAGAACGGGTGTGAGCGTTCCCAACTACGATCGACTTTTCGTGAGACTAACTTAGGTCGGCCTAGTCAAGGTTAGAGGGCCCGAGAGGAGTAGATATTAGTGTCTGACACTTACCCTTCCTGCAGAAAGCATACTTCTCCTGTTGAAATTGTATCAACATCCACGGTGAGTTGAAGGTTCATCATCTTAGTCTGGTATCCCCTAAAAATGAAGGCGGGGATATCCTTGGCATTCCCGATGTCGGAGGCGATCGCACGAAAACAGATGCATGGTGCACATCAGTGACATGTGTGCCGCATGGCGCCACGTCTCATCCACATTTACAACATTAAACCAGTTTCCGTCCTATTCCCGGCCACTGCTTCGCTTCCATTCCCCGCACCATTCTGCTTACGTGTTTGACTCGGCCATAGCCGGGAAGGTTTCAGCGAATTCCCCCGATGGTCAGACCGCGTGCCTGCCTCGATGTCAGCGGCATCGGTTCTCCCGAACCGATAGCGCACCGCGGAGCGCTCCTACGCCCGTTGTCGCGCTCGTCCCCCCAATCAATTTATTAATGTCGAAATGGCGTCACACCGTTAAACCACTAGTACTTCGCCCAACTATGGGCCCCGGGCGTGTCCCATTAACGCGCCACATTTGAGGGAAGGCGTTCAAATGAACGGCCGGTCGCTGAGAATTGCGACGTAGAAATAAAAGAACCAAAAAAAAAAAAAAAGTACTTTCTAAGTTGGGCGGGGGTCGTGGTCACGTCTGTTCTTGGTGGAATGCTTCTAACTAGTATTTCAGGTAGATTCTGGATGTCTATTTTTTCTGCTTTTGTTTTTTTTTCACTTTTCTTAGATTCCCCTGCCAGCGAGGCAGGGCATATCCCGTGATCTACTTAACAGTCCTGGTTGAGGGCATAGGGGCTCGTTCGACACTCCTTTGGGCATCCTCGGGCTCCGAGGAAAAAATCTTGGAGTCGCCCGAGGAATTTCCCGCCTTCGTTCCACTCATCCTCGGAGTCGCCCCCCGAGGAAGATTCCTCGGGCCTCCCGCGGCCAGATTTATACACGTATTAGCGGCCGCGGGGTGTGGGTGCCACGGCCGGTCTTGAATTGTGTCCGTCTRGAATGGCGTGGTCCAGCTTTGTGAACCGCCGTCGAAGAAATGACGTCGTTGGAAAAGGAAAAAAAAGGGTCTTCGAGAAGGCGCGCGACGGTGGAATTCAAAATTCGAAAATTCGAAATCTGCGCCAATGAGCGTAGGCGGGCGACGGACGTCGGCCGTGTGTGGGAGGGCGCGGGGGGGGGGGGGGGGGGGGGGGGGGGGGGGGGGGGGGGGGGGGGGGTTGGCGGTCGTGGGCGTGTCTATTAGAGACGTCAGTTCGAACGCAGGTCAGGGCTTTCCAGTGTGCGCACGCCTTCTGGTTGACGATCATGCATTGTCAGCATGCAAGGTCGCCATCGTCGTAGCTTGTCGCCGTGCGAAGTGTTGGCGGCCACGTTTCGTGACGGAGGCGGGATATCGTCGTTGCCACGACAACTTGCGCCTGCACAGAGAATCGCCGCTTCCGATCACAGTAGTCCTCCCCGTTCGCGTTGGCGGGTTTGTCCACGTAGATGTGGGTGCAGTCGATGCACCCGTGGCAATTTGGAAATCCCTTGTCTGTGAAGGCGCGCAACACGACGGCCTTCTGCAAGCCAGTGGGCCACGAAATGTTGTCCGGGTATGCTGCAAGCAAGGCGGCGGTAACGTCTTGCACCGTCGTGATGCGAAGCCCTCCCTATGCCGAAGCTGCACGTTCCGCTGTCGTACGTCTCACCCGACGCCCACCTATAGAGAGCGTATGCCACGATGTGGTCAGGTTGCAACGGCTCCCTGTAAATTGTCACACGCCGTTGCAGGTATGGAGAAAGCGTCTCCGCAATTTCGCGGAAGACACATGGCGACATTCGGAGCTTGTCTCTGAAGTAGTCGTCGGTGGCGTCGTCGGTTTGTCGCAGGTCCTCCCACGTGCCTCCCGTCCGCCGCTTCATCCACCAACGTGGACTCGCCCTCGGAAATGCCCCGCTCCCCAACACGTAGCACACCTGGAGGACGGCGTCCGAGACTGCAGCCAAGTCCAAGCCTTCACTGCTGCTCCGCAGTGCCCTCGTCTTTCGTCGCACACCAGCAACAACTTTCATCTTGCCCGCGGTTCTCCCCACAAGACAACGGTAGAGTACGATATTCACGGCCGCAGCAATAGCTGTCCTCTCACCTTTTGTCAACGCACCACCCGGACACCGCCGTCAATAACCATCCCCGACGCCTCTTCCATCGACGTCACTGCCACCGACGGCAACCGCCACGACTCCACACACGCAGCCACGTGTTGCGTGTACTGGACGTCTTCGTGGGTTACCCTGGCAGCGTGCATGACACGAGGATGTTACATCTATCTAGTTTGTGGGATCACGCGGAGCGTGGAGAACTTTTCACTGGGCCGCATGTCATGCTGCCATTCGGCGTCTGAACGAATCGATACTTTCTCGGCGACAACGGCTATCCCCAGTCGGAATGGATTGTCGTCCCTTATGGAGGTCTCGCGCAGCACCCCGCGGAGGCACGGTTCGACAACAAGCAGAAGACGACGAGGGGGGCGGTTGAAAGGGCGTTTGGAAGATTGAAGGGCATGTGGAGGTTGTTCCTCCGCACGCACAAGTGCAACATGGACACGTTGCCGCAACAGTTCATCGTTGTCTGCGTCCTCCACAACATACTGATCGACGTTGGCATTCCCTTCGACGACAATCTGTTGTGGGAGGTCGGTCCGGACGGCGTCCGACGCAGGGTGGATCTTGGTATGCATGCGCCGCTGCGTCCTGTTTGCATGGAGTCATCGAGCGGGGACGCCCTCATTTTGAGGGATGCGTTGGCGGAGAGGATGGGTGCTCAGTGACGACGGGTGGTTGTGGGAGTGGCGAGTCGTAGAGGGTCTTGATGCGGCGAGACATGGGAGCAGCCTGAAGCGGGGAGGCACCGTAGCCTTTATGGTCCAGGAACGGTAGGAAGGTACGCCCTCCCGTACCATGTGGAGGTGCTGAGAGGAATCTGTTATGACACCGTCCCAGATTGCTGCCGTCCGGAAGATTGTTTCGTCGTCGACAAGCACAACGTGCTTTCCAAGCACGGGGGTGTCCCTCGCACCCATCCGCCAGCTTGTCGTCTTGCTGTTAGCGTGTCGCAGTGAGGTCGTGGGTGGTTGATCATCTCGGTCGTTTTTGTCGCAATTTTTCCACACTGCCGTCCTTTATGGACCACTCTTGTTTTAGCGGCGCAAGGTGGTTGCGCAAAAGTTCGTCCACGTCAGTGTCTTTCTTTAGTGTGGTGATCATCGGCGTGCGGAAGTCGATGATGGTTTTACGGAAAGTGGTGTTGAAGCACGAGCGGGCAGTAGGTTTCATGCAGGGAGGTCGTGGGTTCGCCAGTTTAGGGTTACGGGGGGGGGGGGGGGGGGGGGGGGGTTTAGTGGGGGGTGCATGGACGACGAACGAGCCACGATCTTCTTTTCTTTGCAACTGTTGTGATTGTCTACCTTCGAAGGCTTCACCTTCTTTTTAATGATCTTCTTTCGTTCAATGGTTTTGGTGTGAAGTTGTGATTTTGGCTATGTATTTTCGTTCACGAAGTGCAGAAAAGTTTCTCTGCCGTTTTTGCGTTCAGGCGTGTGTGTGTGTGTGTGTGTGTGTGTGTGTGTGTGTGTGTGTGTGTGTGTGTGTGTGTGTGCGTGTGTGTGTGTGGGTCTCACCATCAGCAATGATCAGATCGGTTCATGGACATTACGTATATCTTCTCCAATGAAAACAACACATCCCGGTCACCAGAACACATCCCAGAACAAAGACGCCTATCCCATCGCCTACACAACACACAAATCCATTGTCTTGTGAGATACAACAACATTGTTTCCTTTCCGTTGAGAATCGGTACACGACTTCACAGGGTGTTGAAATAAAGCAGAGCCTCCGCTTCGCCCAACAACCACAAGGAACGCAGGTACACGAGGCCGAGAAACGGGGTTGTGAAGGAAGATTTCAAACTGACATAACACGGCCTTAAAATCGAGAACAGTGTATCCACCGTTTGTCATGATAACAAAAAGCGAAAACACGCACTAACAAGCACAAGTTTTTAAGTAAACACCGAACGCCGCAAAGCACGTGTGCGTACACCCACCAAAGCATAGATACAAGCGGCGGAAAGCGAAACACACTCCCCCTGTCATCTACACATCCTCCCCGCCGTCATCATCGTCGACCCCCACTATCACCCACCCTCGCCGGTAGCCCATCGACTTGGACTCCCACTGTCACCCACCCTCGGCGCCATGAACATCGTCGTCGTCCGACTCTTCCCCCTCATGGTGGTCTGTGGCGATCCAATCCGTCTTCGTCGCTTCCATCGGGGAGGACAACGTCGCATCGTGATTGAACGTGACGTCGCACTTCGACGCCCAGTCGGGGATGTACAGCGGGGGGGGAGCGAAGGTCGGAGGCGGTCTTCCAAGTTTCTCGGTCATGACAGCTGCTGCCAGCAAGACATGACGACGGGAGTCGAAATGGCGCTCCATGGAAGCAAGAAGGGTGGTCTTCGCCATTAGCTGCACGAAAACCCAGGCATCAAAGTGCGATCTCGCGTCGTCCCCAGCCATCCTCATAATCCACGTCGCCGCCGCGAGAAGATATCTCATCGCCTCCGCCAGGGACCTGAGGCGCTCGTAAGAGTCACGCCCCGAGTCCATCGCCTGCGCAGCCTCCACCACATTGCTGAAGTCGCGCACTAGACGTTGGGCGATGGCTTCCTAGTACGCCGCGCACTCGTCGTCCTGGTGCCTGTCCTCCATCTTCGCACCGACGAACAGCAAAGGGAGCTTCATACCCAGCTCAGCGTCGTTCGAAACACCATCGGGCTCACTAACGAGCGCCAATCCTCCGCTGCCCACATCGCTCTGGCGATGTCAGTCGCCGCGTGGCTCAAGGCGTATTGGTACGCCAAATGATACCCCTTGTGTCTGCTTTCGGACTTGAAAATCCAGCCGTGGATTGCTCTCTTCGCAATGGTCTCCACCTTCAGCGCCCTTTCCTTCGCCGCCGTCAACTCCGACCCGTCTTCGATCTTCTTCACAGGGATAGAACTATGGGGGAGGTTGATGCTCCTTCGGATCGGTGATGACTGCACTCCCGTCGCCACGTCAACGAGGTACACACGGGCTTCGTGTATGATCTGGATGATCTCGTGTCCCCGCATTTGATTCCAGAACCGAATGTCGTCCGTCCAGAGCCCCGCGGCCACCTCCATCGCTTTCGCTTCGGCACGTTGCCCACGAATCCTGTTCACTAGCGCTTCGTCGTCTTCGCCTACTGTCCCGCCATCGCCCGCCTTCGCAGCGTCCGCCACGGACGACACAACCTTAGTTGCCTCCCCGCGCCGCAGACGTGTCGTCGACGAGTCGATGACGGCCTGGGAACTGCTTGCAACGCCAACAGGCCAATCGACGACGTCCGCTGCTGATCATGCCCCGCCTCCGCGGCGACCCCCCGCCCCGCTTCCATCCGCGCAGCGCCCGTCATCCTCTGCTTCACTCTTCTCTCAAGAGTCTGCTCCCCTTCTTCTTCGAAGTCATCGTCCTCCACCTGTGTCTCCTCTGCATCCACCCAAGCGGACTCCACCTCTCGCCGGACTTCGGTCTTCCCACCTTGGACGGTCCTTCTCTTCAGGGGATCGTGGCGACCTTTCTTCGGTGCGAGCTCGGCTTGCGCCACTTGTTTGCCAACAGCTCTCCCACATGCAACGCCGCGAGTAGACATACCGTATCCTGTGTCGACGACGGAATGAAAGTCGAGTGAGAACAGCGTGCTTCCGCAGTCGGATGAGATGGCGGCCAGCAGATCTTATCGAGGCACGACGAAAGACGCGAGCACAGTTGCTAGATGGCGCCGAAAGCTAAAGGCGGCGAGAAGATGTGTTCGCGGCGCGCAATAAAGAAGGTTGTCGGCGGTTGTGTTTGCGTAGATGTCAGGCAGCGAGAAGATTACATGGCGCCGCGAATGGAAGACGTTTGATGGCGAGTGATCTGGCATTGGGGAGAAGATTGCATTGCGGCGCTCGCGAAAACAAGGCGATGGATGGGGTGGAGGGGGTGGGATGGCGAGAAGAAGTTCCGCGACAACGAAAGCACCACTCCGCGTGAACATCATACGCACGGTTTGGGATTAGTGCAGTGTGGGTCAGTATCGCGGTACTTATTGCAAAGTGGTGGTCGCGGGTGGATCTCTCGAGCGATGGCGCGCTGCCGTTCGGAAATCCGTTGCACGTGTGTCTTTGTCGGGACACGGCAGACAACAATCGAACGTCCCGCACACTACCATAGGGCGACAAGACAAACGATGACGACAAAAAAAGGACATCGGGGTACACCTTCCCCCAACGACACGAAAACCCCACTCCGCCAAACCCTCGCTGTGCTGGCCGAGCACGACAACCCCCCACCCAAAAAACACCCCCCCCCCCCCCCCCCCCCTGTAATATCTCCAAGGCCCACCACCCGACCCCCCTCCAACCCCCGGCCATCCATTGCTTCGGGCGGGTAATGAAGTGACAAACTTCACTCCCATCACGATTATCAAACAAACCCTGCAAACATGAACAATACAAGGACATTGCATAGACGACCGGATGCACGCCTCGTGGGGACGACAATCATGTAGTACACCATGCACTCCACCATTTCGAATCCGACTACTGACACGACACACGATCAGTAGAGCACAATACAACCGTGAAAACTGCAAACGCGCATTTCAATGCAATCATCTGATACAAAACATACAAAACCCACCATACCCCCTTTGTTTGTGTGTGTGTCAAATTGAAAAGAGAGAGAGAGAGAGAGAGAGAGAGAGAGAGAGAGAGAGAGAGAGAAAGAGAGAGAGAGAGACCGATTGATATGAGACAATATCAGCACTCGACGTGCGACGAGTTGAAGCACAACATTTAAAAAAGAAAAGGGTAGAGCATTATGAACTTCCGAACTTCAAATTCAATTCAAATGAACGACGGGAAAACCCGTCTCGAAACACCAGGCACCTAACACACACAAAGGCGGGCGACCGATGTGCCCGACCGTCTTAGAACACCATTACAGAGCCCACCAATGGCATCAATCGAAGACGACAGCAAAACAAAAGGGAGCCGACAACAACAGGATGTCTGAAGTGCAGGTGCAGAAGGAGCACTACGCCGCGTCAGGTGAAGTCAGCAAACTCATGTGCCATGCGTCGATGGAGATAGCAAAGGCTATTCGCGAGCGGTAAACTTCGTTGGCATTTTTATGTAGCAGTGGCGCCGTTGAATGTAGCAGTCGGTGGATAGTTTAGTGCACACCGCCGCAGGCACCAGTGTCTGCAACATTCTTCGGGTTGATGGTTTCGTTGAAACCGCTGGACCCTTCAATTTCGTCGTAAACGGCACGATCCATGTTGAAATTGAAGCCGTTGCTCGCCCTCTCCTTCAAGCTCAACTGGAAGAAGTCGACTCCCCCGTACGGCTGCGGGAAACGATGAACTTTCTTGAATTGTTGCTTGAGGTTGTCCCATTTCTTGCCGCATTTCTCTGCCCTCCTGTCGACACCAACGTTCTTCAATCGACTGGCGACGTCATTCCATTTCCACTCCCTCGGCTTCATACGGGTGTAGGCGTGCCCCATCCCCTGCATGTGCGCACCCTGATCACGTTTCGCCCGTATGAGCGCGATGATATGGTCGACACTCCAAAAGTTAGGCTTTTCCTCTGCTTCGCCGTCGTCTTCTTCGTCGTTCGGTTGTGATTGTGTTTTTTTCGGCCGCCCACGACCTCTCCCGGCCGCCGCCTTCGTCTCGCCGGCCTTCCCACCCTTGTCGCTGTTCTGCGACGGGGACGCGCAGCTGCCATTCCCCTCCCCGTCGAAACCCTCGTTGTCGTCGTCGTCTTCTTCGGACGGAAGCCCCACATGTGGCTCCTGGACTTCTTCTTTCGGCCTGTCCATCCTCAGACGCTCCACCCCCCGCCTGATCGCCTCCTCTCGACCCTCCTTGAGCAGTCGTCGTTGCTCCGCCCACACGACCCTCCTGTCGCGGTCGTCAACGAAGTCCTCGAACTTGCCCCCGCTGTCGTCGGGAATGCGACGTCGACGACCCTGGTTGGACGCAGCAGACACCCCGCCGTCGTCGGGAATGCGACGTCGACGACCCTGGTTGGACGCAGCAGACACCCCGCCGTCGTCGGGAATGCGACATCAACGACCCTGGTTGGACGCAGCAGACACCGGGGATGGTGACTGCAAGAACGACGGACGACCTTGCGTGCCCCTCGAGATGGAAGTCGGTCGTCCCTACCACTGCTGCGCACCGGTGGAGTTCAACGATGGGTCCACATTGGTTAACCGGCCGCCGTCGTCTCCTGGATGGGGATTAACGATCACTGTGCGCGTCTGGCTTCCACACCTCCCTGTGGAGTGACCGGAAGAGACGTTCACTCCGCCATGTCCTTCTTCCCCGTCGATACTCGGCTGCAGCAGTTCAGTGAAGGACTGGCCGATGACGCCGGCACTGCCACCGCACGGCTCCGCCCAAGACCATTCCTGCGTAGATCCGCTACCCAACGGAACAGTGTGTGCCCGTGTCTCCCTCTCCTCCTCATCAGATGAGTCTGGGAGGGGTAGCAAATGAGGCGGCAATGCAGAATTGTCGACCCCCAACGACAACCTACAAATTGAAGACGAACTTCCGACACCACGCCTGCTCACTACCTGCTCCCCTCCTCCCCTGCCGCACCCCTGTCCTGTTTCCGTCCTGACCGGCTTCATCGGCGAGGTTCGTCCACGTCGACGCCGGGGCGCGTTCCGAGGAAACACAGGTGCAACACTGCAACGACGACCAGCAGAAAGACGATGAGAAGCAGCAAGGGCAGCTTGCGAAACACGTCAGCCATGCGACGGACGACGACAACGACACTACACGGAAGAGGAGACGGGCGACAACATAACGGCGACATCCTGCAGAAGGCCGACACGCGTTTGGCGACAAACGGAACCCATTGCCTTGTGGACGCGCTGTGTTGTCTGAAATATTCGCATTTGCCGACAGTTGGGCGGTTTCCCGCCCGACGGTCGCCACTCCAACCCGAAGGGGCAGCGGTGTAGACGTTGGGGATGCAACCGGCCCGCTAACGGTTACCGTTGGCGTCCACATCGGGTCGCTTGAACGTTGGCAACCGGACATGTCCGTGCACAAGTCGGCTGGACCACCGATGGACCAGAGGCCGCCGGCGCGAGAACTCGACTGACGTGCCGCCGACAACCCGGTTCCTCGTGATGGGGGAGCTCCGAGGATCCTAGTGGAGGTTCCTTGGGGGGGAAAAAAAAATGTCTGTAGCCCAAGGAATCCCCGAGGAATCCCGGAGGAAATGTTTTCATTTTTTTTTTTCAAATTCTTCCCCAAGGATAAGTGGAACGACGATTTCCTTGGGGGATTTCGGCGCCCGAGGAGTGTCGGACGAGCCCCGTACTCACACTTTCACACGCACAACTGTATCTAACTAATTTCAGGGCCAAATTCTGTTTCGTTTTTTTTCCCTTCTTTGAGATTCATTTCTTTGTGTTCTTTTTTTTCCTTATTTTACTTTTAGATTCTGACAGAAACGCCACGGGGCTGATACACCCAAAATATGACATGCTCACATTGCGCCTCGCTGCATTACGCTTGACTCACAAAAACGTTAAACCACCAGTACTTGGCCCAGCTATCGGACGCGGGCCTTTCCCGTTAACGCGCCGACATCTTCGGGGGTTGGCCAAGGGAAGGCCCGGTCGCTGCTTGAAGGCCGGGCCCCAGTACCGTCGGCATGACACAAAGGGTATTTAGAAA